TCGGTCTAGTTACAGTTGTTAATAGCAAACTTCTACTGAAAATCCCCCTTAGTATCTTCTTAGAAGTAATGATTTTATTGAATTATACATGGAGTGTATGATCACAATAATGAGCTAACTTCTTAAAGAAATATGATTTACCCTGCTATTTGAGAATAGTCTAAGTCTCTACATGTGGAAAAGATGACAAGACTCGGTACAAGACATTTTGCATGTGAGTGTAGCTGACTAAGTCTGCTCTAAGACTCAGATGTGGCTAGAACATAGAGACACCATCTATTTGGTTGCCAAAGGATACTTGTCATGCCCTCTCCTTAAACTTCCCCTGTGTGTCATAAAAACAGAGAAGGGCTGAGGTTTCCGCTGAATGATTTTATTGCTAAATTCTAAAGAGAACTTTTCAAAGACTTTATTTTACTCAAAAGGTCTTTAATGGAGGCAAGTGCCAATTTACATTCTAGTCTTCCAAATACAAATGTAATTACTGAAAATCTGTTTAATTGCAATTTCACCATTTGAAATATACTTCAATGTATAAAATATGATTGCTATATACACAACCATCTGGCTATACTTTTGTATAATAAACCACATCTTTGGTTCAAAACAATTAATAGAAAAAGGAAGAACTTGGATATTTCATATATTGGTTCTGAGTTTTATATCAGTCTCCCACTATATACTTAAAATAAACTTTGCATTTTGAGAATTTTAAAACATGAAAAAATAGGAAGAACGGTATAATAAGGCTCTATATATCCATTATCCAACCTCAACAACCACTAACATTTCACTGTTTAATTTATTCCCATCATTACTATCACCATTATTATCATTATTAGTATTTTGCTGGAGTATCATTAAAACAAATTCCAGACATTATATTGCCGTTTCTATAAATTCTTCAAAATCCATCACTACCAGTAAAGGGTTTTCTCTTGATAAAACTACAATACCATTATCACATCTCACAAAATAAGTAATTCTTAATATCGTTTAAAACCCAACACATACTCATATGTCCACAATTGTCTTAAAAAAGTTTTATGATACTGAAAAAAGAAACAAACTTACTGGTCATCACTAGAAGTTTCTAGGGCACCAGTTCATTTTATAAATTAATATAATAAGGAAGTATATATCTTGGATTTCCTATGAGAACTGGATTTCATGTGGTAATCAATGACTAATGGGTTGAAGTTCTTCATCATAAGTTTTTTTCTTCATTAAAAAGGAATAATTTCTTATGTTTATCACTTTTATATTCACTCACTATATAATTTAATAGCATGCTCTGCAATTATTTTAGCAATAAACACAATATAATTTTCACAATTATTTATGAAAATAATTTTGAAGTATTAATATATATATATATATATTTTCTGCTTGTATATATCCCTTTACCTACCCCAGCCTTTTCAAACAGGTATTGGCTTTAAATTCATTGCATAGATGAGGATGAGACAGGGTAGAGAATGGTAAAAGGCATTCTGTTATTTTTTGAAGTTCTAAACCTACCACGCTGATTATTTTTTCAATTGCTACTAGAGAAAATAAAAAAAAAAGAAAAGAAAAGAAAAAAGAAAGTTGGAGGAATTGTGTCTTTGTGAAAAACTATCAAGAAATACAGTGGGGGATCTCCAACTCCAGACACTAAAAACATTTACTCAGCCCTGCTGGGAAAGAAAGGGATGAAAGAAATAGAAATGAAGGGAGAGACTCTACTTGGTGCTCATTGGGCAGACCTCAAGAGAAACCTAGTGGATTGGGATTACAGAGTCCTGAGGCTAGATTCCATAGCAGAGTTCAGAGAAGCAGGAAGATCCTAAGTGATAAACTCACCATGCGAGTGAGCCTGCACAAACTCCTTTGCCCGCGTTCATTCGCGTGAAGGCAATGATAGTAGTTATGAAAGGGCCAGGAAGGCTGGGTTGAAGGCAGTATCATTTGAGACACATGTAGACCCAATCAAACAAGGGGCATCTCAGTAGACATGGAAGTGGGCAGATGACCAAGGGACCAGAATATTTCAATTCTTTTTGGCATGATGTAGACCATACGAAATTGAGAGGGGAGAAAAGTGAAGTTTCTGTCACACAAGGGAAATGGGGATTCAAGTTTTGTTTTTTTTTAAATGAAAGGAAAAAAGAAAGTTGTATGTCCAGCACATCTAAATTGTTGGCATGAGTCACATCTGATACAATAAAGACTACTGTAGATTTTACATAATATTATTTATAAAAACCATCAATTATAACATAATTTACAAACTTTATTTTTGGAATTGCATGTAAAAACCTTCATACTTTCCTAATTTTTTTTCAAAATTCATATGTTTGATAGAATATAAAAGTTATGATGCCAACAACCCGGAGGTTGGAAGTAAAGAAGAATATTGTAGATCAATGTCACTGTGTGTGTGTGTGTGTGTGTGTGTGTAGAAGCAAGACCCTATAATAAAGCCTAATGTTTCCAAAAACTCCCCCATAAGATACTCTTTTTATTAATTTCTTTTTAAAAAGTATAATGAAAATGTTACTATGGAATTACTACTAATCTTTAAAGATTTTTTATTGAGAGGCATAATATTTTAAAAAATAGGAATCCTTACAGATTCAATACTTAATAATTGTACAGATAATACAGACATTGATGATTTATATGGATATAGCATGGTTACTACAAAATCTTGGCTCTTCAAGAATTATCACACCACAGACAGAAAATCCCAATGAAGACAAAGGATACAGTCTAGATCTGAATAGCAAGATTATTACTATTGAAGAATACTGCATCAATTATGCTTTACCTCACTTCACAAATTCCTCAAAGTTAATTACAAAAATGTGACTGTGGAATCTTAAGATAATATATCATAATACTATTCTAATATGAATTACCATTTAGCTATGAATCTCTTAATATTTCTAGGCTATTCTAATTAATTCTGCTCTAGACATTTACAGAGGAGGTTAAAATTTTAAGTCCTGTTAAATGTCAAAAGTATAGTTGGCCTCCAGGGTCCCTCCGGGCACCTCCTTTCCTTACCTGCCTATTTTCCTTCTTTCTTAATGGTGAATAAGGATGCTGTCTCCACCAAGGAGAAATTTAACACATTTTATTGACCATGATTCTCGTGGGTGAAGTCACTGTGTTGGGTTGAATGTTGAGTGTGCAAGGGTGTGTCATCCCTGGGGGCTCTTTTTCCGTGTGACTAGATTGGTAAAAACTCTGGGAACCTCTTGAAACTATTTCGAAAGGGCCTTTTATTTTTGGCTTTAGAATCTCTTCTAACTTCTCCCATTTGGCAGCTCACTCAGTGCTACTGCCCTGGACTAAGAAGGCATTGGGGGTGTAGCTATACATTTTGGATAAAGTTCTGGCCTAAGGCAACTTAGGTTAACCATACTTCTGTGTACTTTCTCCCCCCTATTTTCCTTTTACTTCTGTAAAAAACAAACAACAACAACAACGCTGGTGAACTATATAGACAAGACCTAAAACTATTTTCTTAAAATGGGAGTCTTTCTGTCTTGGTTTTAGCTGAAGCCCAAAGATAAGAGAATCCAACCATTCCCATATGGGGAAGAGGAGGCCAAGAACCAGTTTCGTACTCTCAGCTTAATGACAGTTAAGAGATGTTTTAAAACTGAAGAGGGGAAGTTAGAAACCGGGAAATCAGTTTAGAAAAAAGCTCTCCTACCCACCTGACCTCTTCACACAAGTCCAGGAAAGGATAATTCAATGGAACCACTTACATTCAGTGGTGTTTAGACTAATCAAAACCAAGAAATCTAAGGAGGACCATGGGCCTGCTCTCCCAAATGCTGTGTAATGAGAAGTCTCCTCTTTGCATATGGCCTGCCCTTCTGGATATGTGAAGTAAAAAGATGTTTTCCTTATGAGCCGAAGATACAGAACATGAAAGAAAGGTCAAGAAGCAGAGCTGGTGTGCAATCTACTTAAATCTTCCTAAGATTGGCTGGGGTAGGGAGAAACTTCAGCAGAAAGAAGATGCCAATATAACTAGACATGCCAACGAGAAGAAAGTCATTTATCAGAGAAACCTGCAGAAATGGATGCCAGCTTCAGGGAGAGGAGGGATAATACATTCAAAAGATCCCCGACCACAGCCCTGGAAACAAAGAGGCAGCTTAAAATCCTGGAAGTCAGAGAACACCAATTCTGGATTCTCACAACAGGATGAGTTAAGAAAGCCTTTCTGTGCTTTTTACCTCCTCTTGGTCTTTTACTTCAACCACAGAATTGCCAGAGGCACCTTAATGTCTACAGCAGTAGAAGAGAAGTAGCTTAGAAAATTAGAGAAAACTCACCCTATCCCCATTTCTCACTGTAGGTGACCAGTTTGATGCAGGTTCAAGATGAGCTAGAAAACAGTTTTAATTTAAATCAAGTAGAAATCATGCTCATTACTCTGGACAGGACATAAGTATTGAATTAGATTTTTAACTTTTTAATATTAGTGAACTCATCAGGGATTAAAAAAAAAAGTAACAGCAACATCAAAAAAGGTATAGTCCTTGCCCAAAATTTCCTCCAAAGGCAAAGAAAGAAGTACCCTCACAGGGCTTACTTTGAATGGGCAATGATTTCTAAGGTAGGGGTGTGGATCTGTGTAGAATAAAGACTTTTCTGCTAATTCTATCTCACTCATTCCACTTGTTCAATGCATTGGTTAGAAACATATCCAAAACTGAAACAAGGAAAGCAAAACCCCAAAATCACTATCACCCCTCTTCACACTTGTTTTAATCAACTACTTTATCTTTTTTTTTTTTTAAGTCTTCATTGGAAAACATCATTCCACAGAACAACAAGCACAGTAGACTTGATGATATTTTGAATACGGCAACAAGAAAGCCAGCAAAAACCAACCAAATGTCCATTTACTGGCTCCCCCAAATCACTGTTAGAACTCAAATGCACACAACAGAAAACCAGAACTCCCAGCGGTCACAGTTCTTAAGGGGACTCACCAGAGTTGGGGTCAGAGTTGCCATCTGCTTCAGTCCTCTTGTCCGGAGAGGCCTGGTCGTAGAATTCGTCCTGTGGCTGAACCAGAGGAAGAGGGTGTGAGATCAGGGTGCCACTACCCACCGGCTCGTGGTCTCCTAGACCACTGTCACTGCAGCTTTCCTGGGAGCCATCGGGGAGGTGAAACGTAACGCGGCGCTGCGACTACAAAGAAGATCACAGGACACGCGATTAACACTCCTCCCAGATAAAAAGGACACGGTGGAACGCAACATCAAAACAACTTTCAACACGTGATACAATGTAAGAGCAAAACAGATAAAACTTGGAACAAAGCTAGGAACGAAATCTATCATTTGCTATTTACTATATCATGTCTAACTTGGAAAATACAAGAAGGAAATTCAGTCTTGTTTAATTGAAGAACAAAAAAAGACACTAATGGTAAACCGTTGAAAATTGTAGCAAGAAAAGCAAATAAGAATATACAAGTTGTCAGCGGTTTAAAGAAAAAACTTGAGATAAGCAGAAATATGCAAATATTTGTTCCATAGATCTGAATAAATACATAGATGATGTGACATTCCATTTCTTTTGAATGAACAGGCATTTTGTTTACTTAATGATTTTAAGGTACTTTTTTCAAAGAACTCATTATTGCCCACTGGCTCAGATATTACTACCAGGCATTGATTATAGAACATCCCAGCAGAAAGATGTTTGGAGTATTATTTTGGCATCTATTTGTACAATGTCACTATTAGAAGTGATCTAAAATATGTGTATGGGTACTTCAATAAATTTTAGTGTTTTAATAAAATAAAAGTATGCATTTCAGCACAGATTGCTGCTTAGTACTCTTGGTAAATGTTCTTTTACCTGATGTAATCCATGAGATATGAGAATATTTACAGCTGTGTGGGGTGGAGATTTATGACTTCTGGAATTATATGAGAGTAGTAAATTTGTGCTGTATGTCTGACTGCACCTAATTTTTCATTTGGCTTTAACAGTCAAAAGACCTTTCAGTATCATGTCACATGTGACCACTTTTACTCATATTTAACAAAATTATGAATATATAAATAATAAGGTATATAATCACTTTATAATACCTAAAACTTGTGTGTTTTGCCAAGAGGCAATTTATAGATTGTATCCATTCCAAAGAAAAAAGAATGCAGTTAGACACAAAATGCTATAGATAGATATACTGCCACTCCATAAATGCATTTTTATAGACAACAATAGAACATAGCCTATTTCCTATGAGTCACTGGTTCAAATCCAGCTCAGAGTCATAATGGAGAAGAGCGGATACCACTTTATTGCTGTTCAATGACCTGTGTGAAATGACTTGATAGCTCAGTACATTTTTAATGAACTGATGCCGACATCACGTACACTATAATCATAAACGGTGCTAACTGAGTCTATTGCAGCACATTTCACCTTCATGCACAACTATCTCATTCTCCCCTCAGTAGATTTTGAAACGTGCCTAGGTGAGTGCTCCACAATATGCAAGCCAAACTTGAACATTAATATCTGAAATGTACTTCTCCTTGTATAGAAAGGAAAATGCTACCATTTTTATTTACTATAGCATTTCCTCTCTCATGTGAATTCAACCCGTTAGAGAAAACCAATAATATAACTATTTTTTGTTTCTGTTTCAATATGCCCTTGTTTCATCAGTATCCTCTTGTGATAAACACAGCATTATTATTGGTGACCAGGCTTCCCATTATACATGACAGTCAAACATAGCTTTTAAAGTGACTAGCCTACTTAAAAAGTCTGAAGTTTTGGTGATTAAAATATCTTTGGTATTATCTCTGGAGGAATACCTCTTAGTTATAACTCAGGTGAGTGAAAAAGAAGTCAATTACAAGAGAAAGACAATGGGACAGATTACTCTTCAGTCTTTATAAATCATTTCCAGATGCCCATAAGCCATTATAAAGTATATGTTCCAAAGATAGAAGAAAAAAGGAAAATTTGCATCTATGATATTCTTCTAAGCATAATTAATATTGCTTTAATTACTATATATTTTTTTTCTCCTAAGAAATGTGAATCTGCAGCTCCCGTAGCACTTGAACACAGCAGTTCTCACAGAACGGCCATTAGAACTAGCATTCATTGAGCACCTATTGGTATATAGCCTGGCACTACAATTTCACTGAGAATAAGACAACTATTTTTTTCAAAACTGTTTCAAATGCAACTAATTAGATTCAATCTCACACATATTATACTATGATATTCCCTTACCACTTTATAAGTGAGAATAAGCAAAGACAAAAATCTGATGCAATTTATTTGCAGTTGGACAGTATAAATTAGAGTGGTACAATGCTTTAACTATGGTGCTTTATGGAACTATTTCCTAATTAATTTGATTCAAAGATGTTTAAGTTTTAAATGGCAAAACTGTGCACAGTTTATCAGTCTAATGGGAGGTTGGGGTGGTGGGGCATATGGACTAAGATCTGGAATACGGATACCGTGGTATGAAGCAAAGTGATCAAGCAAATCCATCTTTAATTTATCATTGTAATGGCTGATGCAAATCTGAAATATCAAGGTAGATATAAGCAAAGAATTTGAAGAAATTGAAATGCAGGAAAATGAGGATCCATGAAGTGTTAAGAAACAGAAGTTGGAGGTGTCAGCAAGGATTCAACAGACTTGTTCAGATGTTACGGAAGAATACCAGGTGAGGAAGCCCAAACCAGACCTCTTGGCTAGGAGCCCTTGCTCTGCAGAGACTGGCCCAGGGCAAGTGACTTTATCACTTTGAGTGAGTTCCTGGCTTTGTGAAATGGATAGTGCCTCCACCAGAGAAGTGTTGTAAGGTTCAAGCAGATTATGTAAGGGTTGTTGGTGTATAAAATTTGACATATAGTAGGTACTCAATAAAAGGTAGTTATCATTCTTGAAATTTACAGCTACATATCCTCTTTTATCCTCCGGGGCTATCAATGTTTAGCTACTTTTAAGGATGTGATTCCTGGGGCGCCTGGGTGGCTCAGTTCTTTAAGTGTCTGCCTTCAGCTCAGGTCATGATCTCAGGGTCCTGCTCCATAGGGAGCCTGCTTTCTCCCTCTCCCTCTGTGATCTCTCTCACTCTCACGCTCTCTCAAATAAATAAAGTTAAAAAAAAAAAAAAGATGTGATTCCTTCATACCAGGGAGAAAAAAGTATTGTTCTTCTGTAAGAGAACTGCCGGCCCCCATAGTCTTGGCATGTCTCCCAAAGTGCCTGTAGATCATGTCAGCTCAGAGCCTTTCTGAGGGGAAGCTGTTTTTGGTGGGAGCAGCAGATGAAGACGGACAGTTTAGAATACATGATTTCTCCTCTGAGAAAGCGAAGGTTTTCCCATTATCCTTTCAAGAAACCTATAGTTGTTTGCATATTTGAAGAGAGAAAGAGGGATAAGCTTTCTTACTGCCTCTGGGACTGTTGCTTCTGGGTTATCCCCATGGAAATATAACCAATTTGTTTTATAAATACAGTCAAGCCCTGCCTGACTGAATTGGGACAACATATGTTATCATGAGACTACTTCAGACTTTCCAAAGCCTTTGCACTTTTGTTTTCCTAAAATTTCTCTCTTACCCATTCCATTTTCTCCCATGGTAAACATTATTATTATTATTGGCTATGCCTTGTTAACGGTTTGACTGTCACATTTGTTTATCTGATTTATCACTAACAAGTTAGCTCTAGGTCCCTGGCTGCCCTGAGATGGAATAAGATGGGAACCAGTAACTACTAAGGCTGCTTCATGTTATTTTATCTCAGGGCTGCTGATATGAATTCTAACCATGCGAAAATTTCATCAGAAATTCTGTACTCTACACAAGCATAAAAGGCCATGCATACAAATATAGGTTCAGGATGCTGCAAGTCGGGAGATGCCACACTGGTTTAATTTAAGAAACATCTCCAAACGCTTTTACAATATTTTTTCTTGCAGGTTAGTAGAAAGGAAAGAGACGGAAAATTCAAGAAGCTCAGGGAAGATACACATGTTCCTGTATTGGGCGCTGTTCTTCGGGAGTCACTAAAAGAACTCTGAGTCACCCAAGAAATCTCAACCATTGCTTGAATGCTTCTTTTGTGTGTTTTTTACTGGTACAGAATATTATTCACCAGTGGATGACTCACATTCAAGTCTACAATCCCAGTCCCACTAACCTCCAGGGATTACCATGTGCAAAGATTTCATGGTCAAGTTCACTGGGTCTTTGCATAAAAGAGCAAAAAGTTAGAAATGAGTGACATGCCTAACACTAACAGGTATTTAATTAATAAATTATACATCACACAATTGAACAAATCACAATACTTAACTTTTTATTAATGTTTCCTGATATTGAAAATATAATCTATTGTTAAGCGTAAAAATCAGGTTAGTAAAGATTTTACTTAGTTGAATTACATTTTGTTAATGTGTTTTTGTGTGTGAATATGTATAAGCTAAGATCTGACTACTATCTGTTAAAGTGGTATTGTCTGGTCACGGAATATGGTATTTTTAAAAAATGTCATTATTTTGACCACACTAAAATTTGTCTGGATTATCTTGGCAATAGTAAAACACATCCTAATATTTACGTATTCCCCTTCATTGGGAACAGAAAAAGCCTAGTAGATAGGAGGTGGGCTTTCTCTTGAGCTAAGGAATGCCAAACAATTTTACTATCCATGCTTTGCTATTCTAACTTCTATTCTTTATTTTCTCTACCTAAGATTTTTAATCATTGCAGTTAAAAATTCTTCTCTTCTCCTCAAATCACAAAATAACAACATGAATTTGGCATACTAAGCCAATTATTACAAGACAAATAAGCAAATTTACTAGTTAATAACTGACACTTAAAATAATTATTCTCTCTAAAATTATACATTGATATTGTGGAAGTAGAAAATAAGTCCTTTAGAATTATTTAAATGTGGTTTCATTTGTGCAGAATTCCTTAAATATCTTTTCAAGGAAATATTCCTAACTCTGATTTAGTTCTTTTAACCACAGTTAAGAAAAAATGATGTATCATTCATCTATCTAATCCCTGAATAGTATACATACACACACAAACTGCCAGAAATTACTTATGATGAAGTAAAAAACAAAAAATGGTGCATGTGAACTTGCTTTTGCTTTACCTCAGCATTAAATCCAATGAATATATGCT